CAATAAATATTCTAAGTTGTGTTTGTTGAGGGTGGTTGATACAAGATTTGCATCTACTATTGTAACGAGTAAACAATTAAGAAAAGTTAGGCCAACACAAGAAAAAATGGTGATGGATTCAGATTGGAGAATTTATAGGGACAAAAATAATGAAGGCAAATCACAAGAAGTGAAAACGTGTGTAGTCAATGATGTTTGGTGGGATAATTTGGATTATTTTTTATCTTTCACTGAGCTTATTCATAATATGTTACGAGTTGCTGATACCGATTCTCCAGTTTTACATTTAATATATGATATGTGGGATAAAATTATTGAAAATGTGAAAAAGATTGTATTTGAGCACGAAGGGATCGATATAGTTTTTGGGCATCCAGTTTTTTTTTACGCTATTCATCAAGTTTTTTTGCATTGTATGGCACACTCTTTGGTTCCTAAGTATTATAATGAATCTTGGCTTCAAGATGGAAGTAGCGGAGTTCCGAGAATTGCACCACATGAGGATCAAGAAGTTTCATTGAATAGAAGCAAATGCCTCAAAAGGTTGTTTGAAAATCCAGTTGATTTGAGGAAAGCATATGCTGAATTTGGGTCTTTTTCTAGTGGATCGGAGTATTTCAATCAACCCCATGTTATTGACGCAAGAACGTAAGAAGAGCCACTCTTGGTGGGCCAATCATGGTTCTTCGGTACCTTTGTTGCAATCTCTGGCATTTAAATTACACTCGCAACCGGCATCCTCTTCTTGTTGTCAACGAAATTGGAGCATGTATTCACTAATCCAGAGTATCAAGATAAACAAACTGGTGATGAGTAGGGCGAAAGACTTGGTATTTGTTCATTGTAATCTTTGACTCATGTCACGAAAAAATGTGTACAAAAATGGGCCAACAAAATATTGGGATGAGTACGTATATGATATTCTTATATTATTATTATTTTTTTTTTTTTGAGATATCTATTTTTTTTACATTAATATTTATATATCTATATTTTTTGTAGGCGGAGATCAAATTGAATTGGATGGACAATGTAGCATTGAGATGGCGGAACTATCCCTTGATGAGCCAGAATTGGAGGCAATTACGTTTGATGAAGAAGAGGAGTAAAGCTTGATTGGGAATGCTTGTTTAGTTTGATTTCAAGTGGAAAACTTCTTGCTTTTTTGTGTTACGACATTTTGGATATATAACTTTATTTTGAATTGTGTTTTGTTTGAATTTGGATTTTATCATTAAATGAAACATTTGTATTGCAGTAATTTATTGTTTTGCTTTAATATTGTAGTTGTTTGCTTTGATTGAATCATTTTTTAGAAAATCAAAAATAATAACAACAATAAATTGTAAGAAGTGTCCCCGTACCTTTATCCAAAATTCGGATCATTTTTAACCGTATCCCCATGTCTTAAATTTTAAAATGAGAAGGATCCGATTCCTGGATATGTACGCCGAGTCCAAGAAACATAGGATATGGATAAGTACTTTAATAGCAAGAAAATAAAATAAGAGGAACACCGAAAAATTTAGTGATTGAGGAACAACAGAATCAGAATAGCAATGATAATGATAATAATCGAGAGAGAACAAGGAAATTATTGAACCTGACCTGCCAATGTAAATGAATTAAAGCAGAATAACGAAGATAATGTTCAACATGAATATTTAAATCAAGAGAATTGCTTTTCTTCGAATTTTGATGATCCTGAAATTGGAATGACATTCAAATTGATCAAAAGATTAGGGATTTTTTAGTTGAAATTGGTCCAAAAAGAGTTGATGACATCTTGTTTCGCAAAGATAGTTAAGGTAGACATTTTGAATTATCACCATACAGGCGGCTAATGGCAAATGGCAGACAACTTATAGAAGATGGCTAGTGTATTCAATTTCTTTAGACAAGATCTTTTGTTTTTGCTGCAAGTTGTTTAAGACAACAAAAACGATGAAAAATATTGGCTAATTGGATAATAAACAGATACAAAGATTGGCATAATGTGAATCGGCGTCTTACAAAACATGAAGTGGCTAAGGAACATAAAGGTTGCATGACTAGTTGGATGGAACTGGAAAATAGGCTTCAAACAAAACATACAATTGACGAAAGCATACAATTGGCCATCAACATATGACTAGTTGGATGGAACTGGAAAATAGGCTTCAAACAAAACATATAATTGATGAAAGCATACAATTGGATATCAACAAAGAAAGAGAGCATTGGAAACAAGTTTTAACGAGGATAATTGCTATCGAGAAAAGACTCGCTAAAAATATTTTGACATTTCGAGGACATTGTGAGCAACTTTATGTCGAGAAAACTAGACCTTTTTTGCAAATGATAGAAATACTTGTTGAGTTTGATCCAATAATGGAAAAATACATTCAACGTGCTCAAGCACATGAGATTCAATATATATATATCTTGGTCCTAAGATTCAAAATCAATTGATATACTTGATTGTACTCCATATGAGAGTCAATACGTCTCTAATAAGACGATACGTAGACGATTCAATAGACTCACCGACGGTACAAGAATATTGGATTGAATTTTTCAAGGCGGATGATGCATCAAGACTTCGTCCTTTCGCTGAGCTTAAAAATGTGTTAAACAATCTTGAGCTTGATATTGATAATATTACAAGAATATTGGATTGAATTTTTGAAGGTGGATGATACATCAGGACTTGGTCTTTTCAATGAGCTTAAAAATGTGTTAACGAAGCTTGAGCTTGATATTGATAATATAAGAGGTCAAGAATAAAACAATGAAGCTAACATGAGCGTGAGACATAGAGGTGTACAAAGAAGGTTACTTGAAATAAATCCTAGAACTTTCTATACTCCACGTGGTTGTCATAGCCTTAATCTGACATTATGTGATATAACAAATTGTTGTTCTAAAGTTACATCATTTGGGGTGATACAACATATCTACACATAGTTCTCTTCTTCTCCCAAGCGATGAAATTTTTTTAAAAATAAGGTTGAAGGCCTAACCCCAAACACACTGGGAAAGTTATATGGAAAGTGTCAAGCCTATAAAAAAATCATATGTACAAATAAGAGAAGATTTACTTGACTTGGTAAACATTGTTGAAGATCCTAAAATAAAGAGTGAAGGTGAGTCATTAGCAACATATGAATTTGAGAATTTTGAGTTCTTACTTGGCATGATAATTTGGTATAAGTTGTAGCATGCAATCAATACTGTGAGTAATTTTTTTAAGCCAGAAACATGGATATTGATGAAGCCATCAAGTTTTTACAAGGACTTATTTTAATTCTCGAAGATTATAAAGAATCTAAATTTGTTAGTGTCATGGATAAGCTAAACAAATGACAAGTGAAATGGGAATTGAAGCTGTATTCCTAGGGAAATGCATCATTCGAAGAAAGAAGCAATTCAATGAAAGTGACACTAAAGAGATAACACAAGAATAATCTTTTAGAGTTAAATTATTCTCTTTATAATTGATCAAACTCGATCTTCACTTCAAACTCGTTTTGAACCATTTATACATTATGAAGAGATATTTGGATTTTTGTTTCATTTGCATAGATTAAACAGTAAATATGTTGACAGTTCGTTGAAATTTTGTGAGAATCTTGAGCAGTATTGGAAACATAATAGACACTCAAGCATTATTGGTTATGACATGTTCAGAAATTACAGTCATGAAGTGCTATTTACCTAGAGAAACAAAAAGAGCAATTGATGTTCTACATTACTTAAAGAAAATAAATGGTTATTTCACAAATGCATTGCTTAAAATATTTTATTAACCGTACCAGTTACAGTTGTATCAGCAGACAAAAGTTTCTCCAAGTTGAAATTGATCGAGTTTATCTCTGATCAACTACGCCACGGCAAAGATTGAATGGATTGATCATATTATCTATTGAAAAAGAAATGGTTGAACAACTTGACTATTCAAAATTAATTGATATTTTGTTGTATTTGAGTGATCATTTAGAGCATTTTCGCATTGTTATTTGATTGTAATATAAATATTTTGAATATTTCATTTTATTTGTTGTTTTAGGGTTAAATTCACTTGTGGCCACCCAACTTTATAGTTGGTGTCACCATAGCCACCCAATTTGATTTTGTTTCACCATGCCACTCAACTTTATACTCAATGTCACAATGGCCACCCAATTTGATTTTATTTCACCAAAACCATCCAATTTCATATAACGTTTCACTAGGGCACCCAATTTCATATAACATTTCACCATAGCCACTTAACTTCTTTTTACTATTTTCATTAATTTTAAAGGGGTAAAACGGTAACTTTGCATTATATATATATATAAATTTAAAAAACGTTTTTAAAATAAAATAAAAACTTATTTTAAAAAAAAGTTACTTAGAAAATAAAATAAAATAAAAAATTATTTTAAAATAAACGTTTTAAGTTTTTTTTTAAAAAATAAGTTTTTATTTTAATTTTTATATATAATGCAAAGTTACCATTTTACCCCTTTTAAAATTAATAAAAATTGTAAAAAGAAGTTAAGTGACAATGAAATATTATATGAAATTGGGTGGCCACAGTGAAACATTATATGAAATTGGATGGCCTTGGTGAAATAAAAACAAATTGGGTGGCAACGATGACATAGAGTATAAAGTTGGGTGGTCACCAGTGAATTTAACCCGTTGTTTTATTGTTGATTTTAAATGAAAAAATTTAAATCCACAAAACTTTTATAAATGAAAAAAAAAAATTGATTGCTTACTGCCATTTATGAACCCAACCCGCGAAACAGGCCCTGATTAACACAATTTTCTTAAGAGATAGCTAGTAGAGAAGCACTAAGAAGCTCACCGTATTATGCATAGTAAGGAGATTTCAATCTAATTAAATGGAACAACAAACAATTTACCAAAATCAAGATCTGTATGCATTTTTTGGAATTACCCAGTTATCAGGCAATGAAAAAGTTAAGACTATTAAACATGCTTAATTGCGGATAAAATGAAATTCGAACCTAAGAAGAGCTCTCCTGGCAATAATTTCGGCATGCGAATCATTCACGACCTCGCCTCTCGAACTCCGCCGTGAGTGCCCTATGCATTTTGTTCCCGTGCCCAATGCCACCACTTGTAACTCTAATAAGACAAGCAGAAAATTTAATAAAAATAGTAAAATAAGAGCTTAGATCAAACAATTCACTGCAGAAAAATAAATTTAAGCAAATAAATAAAATTAACCTTGAGAAGGATTGGAGAGGAGAAAAGCCGCTAAAACAGTGACTTCACCTCCTTGAGGCTTTCCTTTTTTGGGAAGAGAATTATAAATTGACAAAGCGGCTGCTGATACTCTCTCCCCCAACGGCTTCTCCTCCTCTTCCGCCGCCGCCATCGCCGAAGACATCGTTTCTGGTGAATGTAGAGGAAGTTCGGAGCCGGAAGCCATGGCTGCATTTACTGACTCAAGATTGGGCCTGTTGGTGTATTGCCATTGCTCCATTTCTTTTCCGCCCAGAAAGTATGGGCCTTGTTCAGCGGTTATTGGGCTGAGGATTGTCACGGAACTATGCTAAAGAATATGGAAAATTATCCCTTGTTTAACAATCATTATTTTGTTGTAAATGGTAAATTTATTAGTAAATGACAGTTGTACTCCTATAACCCTAGTAATTATTACAATTGTATCCATAATCCTTCCATATAAATATGAAACTTTGATTTTCAATAAAATGCATAAATCTATTTACTTCTATCGATCTCCTCACTTTTTCTCTCTAATTTATAACACGTTATCAGTAGGAGTTTCTAAAAATTAAAGTGAATTAGTTAGAAGATAATGATTTTTTTAACTACAATCATCTGTGACATATACCAAAATTAATTTGGCGACATGCGAATTTTGTTTTATCAATTCACGAATCCAATTAATGTTTTCTTATTGATTTATAGAATTAAGCAAACACGTAGATAGAGGATTTATGCATAGCTATTCTAGTGTTTATTTTACTTATGTATAATGATTATTTTACTAATGTATGTACTAATCAATCATGATTATTTTATTGTATTATGAATTATGATTATTTTGTATGTATATAATATTTGTTCCTATATCCTACTTGTGTGAATTTTATATAAATTCAATGGTGACACTTTTTATGCATCTATTTGATTAATCAATGATGAAACCAAATTATTTCGATAATTTTCCAAGAGAATATTATATATTATTTTTGAAAGGAAATAATTTAATCAATATTGCAGAAGAATATTGTATATTATTCTTGAAATGAAATAATCTTAATCAATATTCTTCTATAATATTTTATATTATTTTTGAAAGAAAATGATCTCAATTAATATTCCAAAAAAATATTACTTGCTCCTAAAGAATATAATTAAATATGATCTACGTAAATTATGTCTTTACTCGAGTAAATTCTTGTATAGTTTATTATAGTAATATTTGATTGCTCTTAAAAGTATGAATTATAATTTTCAATATTTCATAAAAATATAGACATATTGCTTTGAATGTGCAATAATAAAATACAACATATTCACGAAATAGCACATTTTCGAAAAATGTATCATTTTGAATTCATGTTTATCCCTAAAGGAAAACATATAACTAATGACATATGGAGATTGATTAGTTTGATTATTTGAATGATATATGAGTATATAATGTTTAATCATATTCTTCAAAATTAAATAATTGAATTATATCTTATATTGAACCAGAAGTTCAATTTGACTTTATCGTTCGATATGATCAGTTGGACCATCACTTGATCAAAATGATGCGGAATTAAAAATTCAAATAAATATTCAATGAAGAACTAGAAGATTCTTCAAACGAATGAAATCGTATATAATGTTTGTTCTCTTTCATGAAATTTTTTCATTAACCATCACTAGCTAAAATACGGACTAAATTCTCTATATTTCTAAAAATTAATCATGGTGATAAGTGAGGCACATCATCATCTACATTGACCATTTAAATATTATTTGTATCTAATAGATTTGATACAAATACGAGATGACTGTGTGGTGTTCGCAACCTGAAATTTGTAAAATTACTGTTTAAATTATGAGCATAATTTTCAAATTGTACAATCAAGGCAGTTTGTCTTGTTAATGCTAGTGAGTTTAAATCTCAACATTTTAATAAGTGTTTAGTTGGGATGTCGATAAATAGTTTAATGATATTGCATGTTAAACACCCCAAATTAATTTAATTGAGAACAAAATATTTCTCATTTTTGTTTAGGAAATGTTATTACGCATCATGTCAATATCATAGTTATTCCTATTATAATGGTTGTGGTCAAAGTCTAATTTTTCATCTACTTATTTTAATAGTATATCTAAAATTGATTGGCCACAATGCAACGAGATGGAAAGCAAAAATGCTGAAAATAAATGAGTAATTTTAACTCTTATATTATATCTCAAATCCTAAAGGGTGAAAATTTATAACGCAATTTACTAATTGTCAATTTGATTTGACAATTTCTAAGCATTACGGGGAGAAATTAAGAAGTTGAAAATAATGTATAAATACGTCATTATTTAAATTCTCGCAAAATGTCATTCGAACTAAAAATTCGAAAGATAATTCATTTATATGCCTTTAATGACCAAAATGATCAATAATATCTCACACATCAGCTTCAAAATCTCCAACTCGAATTAATGTCCTAGGGAACAATTAGTTAATTATATGATATTTGATAGCATGTTGGAAGCGTGATGATGTTTGATTTTAATATAAAAATTTTCAAACGAAAATGGAGTAATTAGCAAAGATGGTCTCATTAAATAGTCATATACACTTGATGAGTATTTAGACATAAAAGGTTTTTAAACCCTAGAAGAAGTTTAGGCACCTAAAATAATAAAATTTGAGATATCTCAATAAGTTATGTCATTATGGAGAAATAAATAAAATCGAAAATAAAAGGTTGTTGACAATATTTTTGTATATAATGTACCGATGCATATTATGAGTAGCGAAGATATCGAAATAAGGGCTTGTTTGGGAATGATTAAAATACGTACACACAAATAAATAAAAGCTTGCAAATGATGTGAAGGAGATTAGAATAAAAGCATTAAACTGCATTAATAAGAGCTTGTTTGGGAATGATTAAAATCCAATTAAAATTGAAAATATAGTCGTTATTGGGTCTCACTCGTCTAATAAAAGTCAACTTCAACAGCTATATTTTCAATTTTAATCTGATTTTAATCACTTTCAAACAAACTCTAAGTTCTCCATCGATTGAAGTAATGATTGGCCAAATAAAATGATGTGATTCTAGAAAATTAATTAGAGAAGCATGAAATTTCTAGGCCCAATCCTAGTAAAATTGAATTTATTAGAGAAATCTAATATTTCTGGATTTTCAATTTGAACACATAAAGGTGCATACTTCTGCAAAATGAAAATGAAAAAAAGTAAAGTCGTAATATGAAATATACAACTCTTTGCTTAATGAATTCCGCAAATGCTTGCATAAAGAAATAAGTTATCACGTGGAGGATGTAATCAAAGTTTCTACAGTTAGCATGATAATACATGAAATTTGATATGCGTATAATATTTGTGATTATGGTCAACTTATCTTAAATAAATTTACTATTATCCTTGAATAATTTAATATATTTGAAGTATAGCTCAAGTGATATTATCATGAAGGGGAGTGAATACACGTTGTATTCTTTTTTCCTTGACCAAAGTTTTGTCCCATTGAATTTTTCTAACAATGTTTTTAATGGGACAATATTTGAAGCATATTCTTTGAATCATGTTACTACAGTTATCAAAAGTTGATAAATATCTCGTATGAAGAAAGTGTTAGTTGAAGGCTATAACAAGACAACGTGAAACTTGATTCACCAGAATTGAAAATTTGAAAATAATGACGTAAAAGACAAGGATGAATTGATGCAAGGATTGTAATCATGGAGAGTAGCCATAGTTTTATTCCTTCGATCAAGTTTTATCCCACTAGATTTTTTGACGAGGTTTTAATGAGGTAGGTATTTTGTAATGTGTCATTTAATAGAGAGTGTTGTAAATGGTAAGTTTATTAGTAAATGACAATTGTACCCCCGTATCTATAGAAATTATTACCATTGTATCTATAATTCTTCCCTATAAATATAAGAGTTTGATTCTCACTAAAACAAACAAGTTTATTGACATCTCTCTCTCTTCTCTCCTTTTCTCTTTAGTTTATAATATATTTGAGAAAAACAATGGTTTCAACAGTACTTACTAGAAGGATGTGTGTTAAAAAATAGGGAAAAATTTTGGATTTAGATGGAAAATATTTTATTGTATGATTAAAAATGAGTATGTAGAAAAAAAAAGTTTTTCAAATAATGATTGTCAGACAGTGGCTTAATACGAATAATGTTATTTGTATAAAACTAAGAATCATGAGTGATGAAATTAGAAGGTCATTTAAATGTGTGAGTACGTGACTCAATTTATTGCCACATCTCTCTGATACGTATGTATAGAATTACTCTTCAAATAAAGGGAAAATTTATTACTCGAATAATGTTAATTCTATATAAGGTGTTGCATAATGATTTACATGTCAAAAAGAAAGTGGGAATTTTATTTATTTTTTGGTTGAAGAAATCCTAATCTAACCATATATCACCAATCATGTGTATGTAAATAAATGTAGATTATTATGTACATGTAGTATAACCGATTTAAGATTACGTTTAAAAAAAGGACCATGCTACACGTATCTATCGCTTACAATTTTTTTTACTTAATGTTGATGTTGCAAAATTTTGACCCAAAATATTGCCAACCATTAAAAAAAAATTCCCCAATTTAGTTTTACTTTTAATCCATCCATTATCTCTCGCGGAACAAATGGAAAGACAAACAAACATTCCAAAACTTTCTCGACGACTTTTCTGGTATCGACGCTGGTAAAATTGAGTCGTAAACATCAAATTTGGCGATATCAACACAAGTAAGATATTATTTTGTTATGTTCATGTGAAATTTTGATATGGATTCCATTATTTTTAAATCGATTTCCTTTTTTTTACAAGTTAATGTTCGAGAGATCCCAACCATCTCCTTCTCCACCACTCCCCATTTGTCGATTCACGCAGTTAATTACTTATTTGGCTGTTTTTATTTGAATATGTGAGATTACTACTGGAGTAAACTCTTATTTTCTATCCATCGCTCCCACCAATTTTTATGTCTGCTATAGTAGATTACTATTGCTGTAAATACTAATGGGTTTTATGTAAAATCGTGAATTTTTATGACATAGATTTATGCTCTGTCAACCACTCCCCACCATTTGTTTATGTGATATCTTCTCAAGTTGTTTTATATATATGTATGTATATTCGATAAACTCATAAATGTTAATTTATTAAATTTTGATTTCGAATGTCGATATATATATATAAGATCTTTAGGGATGGAATTGTGATTTGAGATGTCAT